CATTTTTTTATGTGCGCTAATGTGCATTCAAAGTCCATACGGCTCTCCTTTTGATCTGTATCGCCTCTAAATGGGATTAGACGCACAGAGATGTATTTCTTGTCATGTAGTGGATGAGCAGAGACACTTTAGTATCGCTGTAACTTATGTACACTGCTCATGTCTCCGTCCCACGATAGCAATATTACAGTGAGGTAGCACCCCCCACCTCACCCCTCTCCCCTTTTATAGGCTCCATTATCTATTTCTTCTCTATCACTTTCACTCAGCCTGTCTATCTCTCTCTTCCTTGTTTCCCATCTCCTTCTGTTGAGTCTCAAATGCTTCAGGTTGTATCTGTCTATCACCCTTCCTCTCCCAGACAGTCGACTGGTATGGCGACACCAGACTGCGTGTATTTTTAGCGCAGCCACAGATGGGGCCGTGGCAGCATGTCAGAGACCAGAATGTTCTTTATCTCAGCTGTCAGGCCCGTTCCCCGCCACCAAAATGGATCTACAGTAGCTAGGGAAAGGGGGGTTTTAATCGTGTCTTTTGCCGAGGCGAAATAACTGTCCAGGTGGTGAAAGGAAACTCTCACAGTGTCAGCTCCTCTGTGGGAGATGGAGCCAAACCTGTGATCAAGCTGAGGTGAAATTGCAGGCTATGTCTGAAAAAGGAAAGAAATCTCAAAAGCAAAGCTCCTTGAAAGAGCCGAGCTCGGCTGTCAGTACATTTTACCCAAAGAACAAGATGTTCTATCATATCAATATCCAGTTTTCCTTATTTCCACTGATGATATGTGGTGAAATAACAGTTTGGACAAATACATTCCGAACCCAGGCTTTAGCGATGGCAAAATACACCTTTAGATTCCAGATCAAACTCTGCTCATGCACTGGGACTGTCCCTTTAGTGCTTAGGGAGTTAAAGAATATTCTGGAGGCTGGGGGTCAAGTGGTCGACTTCACATTTTGGAGTCTGCTGAGACTCACCCCTGGCAGCGCTCACGTCCCAGCAGCAAACCGGCTGTCCACGTGAATATCAAGGAGGGTGGAAGGGAGACAAGGGGGGGATGCTGACAGAGAGGGAGGGGGGGGGGGGGGGGGGGAGACGGTCTGTGGGACAAAGGAGTCAGAAATGATCCCACGTTCATTTTGTCAGGCTGTCAGATTGAGCTCAGATGATCTCATCCAGCAGGTGTGGGACATTGTTAGTGATCTTCCTTCCTTCTTCTTGATTACTATGAGACAAACAAAATGACTGTACTTACATTGAGGATTTTCAAGTATGGTCACATTAATCAAATTGGTGGAAAAAACAAGAATGCATTCTCTCAAACTGGTTCCCAAGACTTAATTCATTGAAAATGCCTCACAAACACAGTTAGCTGTTTAAAAATGGTAATTCATTTCCCAAAACAGCTGGGTGGTATATTTTCAAGCAAATGTTAATTAAGCAGGAGTAAGTATTACCCTTTTGGGGCCTATTTCAGTAATCTGTTGCCTAAAAGAGACATACAATAAATATAATGGTCTGAGCTCGGATTTGTCCTGTGCTGGGAACAAATGATGATCAATACCTCCTCTAATTAATATTTCTTTCCTCCATAAAGGTTTTCCCAGTGGCGCAGTGGGAGGTCAATAATGTGTCTTTCATCGAGGAGCTCTAATCAAGCCCGAAGGTCTCCTCCTGATTCGTGTTGCATTTCTGAGCCTCATTTCCATCCCCCGTCCCTCAAGGCAAGGTAAAACAGTCCCAAGGTAAGCGGGCAAAGGCTCTGTGTTTTGTGGCCAGCCTTCACCTGCAGCTCGGTCAATTGATATGGAAATGACGGCGGCCGAGTTCTTTAAACTGAAGGGAAATAATGGAGCATGGACATGAAAAAAAAGAGCAGAGCGGTAAACAAAAGATTGACAGTGATGACTGCGGCAAATCTGGTGCTTTGGGCAATCTAATTGTCAGCTTCATTTGCACTCTTCAAAGGCAAGGTTACACAAGTCATCAAGATGGGGAGCACAGAAGGACAACTCAAATACCCTGCATACTGTATAAGCAGCTCGATATTCAGTTGCATGATGTCCAGTGTTCAAGGTTTGGGAAACTTTGGAAAGCATTTTAGAGTAGTGCGGGGATGACATATGTTTTATATAATGTCGTATGATACTAATCCTCACACATAGCCACCGTTTTTCATGTGATTACAGTGGAAATGCAATCAGAAGAAGTAAATCGCTAAAAGCTGATATAACCTTCACATTTGTTAGCCATTTTTAGGACACAAACAAGCTTGTTCAACAGTGGGGTATTTACTGACAGATTGTATGTCTTAGAACAATACAATCAAATCTCTAAAGCTTGTATTAATCGCAGAACGTTGTTTAGGGCATTAAACCGCAAAAACGTCAAGAATAGGCATAACAAAAAGAGGACAGTGATCACAGCCCTTCAGAGGACATGTCATATGCAGTCTTCCTTTTAAGAACGTCTTGCTGCCAGAACAATGCAGCCTTCCTCTCCATTGTGTCGTCCATAGGGCCAAACCTTCAGAGGGGGAGATTACAGCCCTGCCGTCTCTGAAATCATTGAGAATGTGGAGCACCGGCGTTGAGACTCAGCAGCGGGCCAATCAACACCAGCCCCATGCTCTCTGAATACAGTAATTATCACTGTCTGAAGGAATTATGTTTATTAGGGCTTCGACGAGGTTGTTGACACATGACGTTTCCATGGCGTGTGTAAACCCTAACCTTTAAGCTGTTATTTGTATTTAAAATAGTTACTTAATGTTGCTCTAAACTAGAAACAAGCTCGAGCACTGCCGCCATCATTTAATCCATGATGTGTCTCTGGAGAGCAGTGAGTTATTAATGCCATCACCTCAAGGAGAGGGTGAAATATTTTATGTTCTGCAGAAAGTTAATGACGCTGCAGAGCCATTTTTAGCCTGTGTATAATGTAGAGTAATAGCACAGGCACGTTTGGCATTCAGATAGAATCTTTATTTCATGCATTTCTTTTTTTATTTGTTCCACTGACGGAAGTGCAACAAACTTTCAGACAACTGTGTTAATAATAAAGAATGATTCACACACAGATCATACAGATCTAATGTCAATAAGTCTGCTGATGTGTTCTCTTGAATCCACTTCATGAATATTTCATAAGGCTGTAATATTATCAATGGATTTCTATGGCTTGTGTACTTGTACACAGAATTAACATTTTCTTATCTACGTAAAACATGTTGTTTTTTTTAAAACGGGCATATTCTTCATGCCGGTTAGACATTTGTCATAAATTATCACACCCAAAAATCTTAATTCAGACACTAGTCATCTGGGCCAAGTAGTTCAAAACTTTTAATCTCTATCTGATCGGATCAGATTTGGAGTTGGGTAGTTCAAAACCAAAAAACAGGATTAGGATCACTTTGATATCCGATCAGATCAGGAAATCAAATCTGGATCAAATCTTCAAAACGGGCAGTTCAAACCGACAACTCAGTTTTATCCCAAACAACTGGATTATCCTGATCCCACCAGAGGGGTGGATTACCAGAGCAAAATGTACTGTACAATTTATTTAAAAATATGTTTCAATATAAATAAGATGGCAAAGTTTGTTAACTGAAATAATACACAATGTTTAGCCTTCATGGCAAATCAATTTTATTTTTCATTTTTTGGTCACGTTTGTGGTGGCTATACCAACCAACCAAATGTTGATGACATAAATGTGTATGCTCATAAAAGTATCACAACAAAGATTGTCAAGCACAAATGTAATTTAGATTAAAGAAAAAATATCTTCAACAAAAGAAAAGTCCATCATCTGTCGTCACCTTTCAAACGTAATTGCGGACAATAGATGTCTCTGCAATGTGGTCTCTTGTCTTCCTTGTATTATCTTTCATATCCACTAGATGGCGATCGGTAGGATTAAAGCACTGATATTCAGGATCTAGTCATCTTGAAAAGTCGTAATCTGGATCAGGGTGATCCCAGAGCCATATAATAGAATATATAGTCTCTCTATATGGCGCTGGGTGATCCCATCCTGAATTGCTTTGTAATACTGGGACAAAATATGGCCGAGTTGTCTGATCCTGGATCACAAAAAATGGGATTTCAAAATCTGATCGGATCTGATTGAGATTAAAAGTGTTGAACTACTGGGCCCAGACAGTGAAACTATTTCAACCTTCATGTCAACCAGTCCCTAAATAGATCTACATGAGGGCATTTGTTTTCTGTGATTCTGTCTTTGATCAATTTAATAGGGTTTCTGCAGCTCAGTCTTTGATTAAAGCAATCTGTCCTATAATAGTCTCTGACTGTTATTATTTCAATCATGTATCCATTACATTCATCTGTTTGCAACTTACAAATTATGTATCTAATATATCGTATTCCAATGACTTGTATATAGACTCTCCTTGCACTATTTATAATCTATTGTATTTGTATTTACTTGTACCTGTTTATTGTGTTGCACTGTTGGAGGAGCCTGTGACCTCAGATGTTCATTGACATATCTACATTGTAGCTTTGTACAAATGACAATAAAAGCCTTGAGATAGCAAGTTGTACTGTGTCTCTCTGAGCTAGTATACAACTCGATAAAATTACTAGGAAATGCAGGACCATGGGAAATGAAACATGATGTTTTATTAAACGTACCCACAGTAAATGCAAGAACATATATCAGCATATGACATTGTGATGGTCTTTTTATAATATTTTGTATGTTGCATATTGTCAATTGTTTTCAAATATATTTTCGAAAAACAAAAGAATAATTAAAGTAATTTAAAGATATAAATCTGAATTGGAGATTTTTTTTCAGATGTATTATCCTTTTCTATCTACATTTTGTAGTGAAGATGATTGATCATTTTTACAATTTGTATTATTCAATAAAATAAAAAAATGTTTTAATGTTGCAATGAGCACAATGACCACCACAGCAGTGTATCCATTATAGTGCTGCAGTACCTCCTTATCAGCAGCAGGTGGCAGCAGCCTGCTAGCTAAACGCCACAACCCACATCAGGAAAATATAAAGACGAAGAAGACTTTACATCAACAACAGTGCAGGACTAGCAGAGGTAACGTTGCTTATCCATCAATGTTTGCGCTTTACAATTTTATCCTAATGCTCGACTTTAATTTGAGACGACATACATCGATGTGATAATATGTTGAATTACGCTATTAAGTAGCTTCAGTTACACGTGCAAATGCAAGCCGTTAGCTTTAGCTTTGTAGCTTAGCGTACACGAAGCTGCGGCTAGCTAAGCTGTCATTATTTCATGCGTGTGTGGGTGTATGTAGCCTAGCATAAGAGGCTTATTGCGTTATGTGGCTTTATTCCGTGATAATAACGGGAGCTTACTGTGTTTATCCCAATTTTTAAATCTCTAACACTCGCTTTTCCGGTCTCACGCGTCTTTTACCGCCTCATCTTTAGCAGATACATCTTACTGGCCGATTTCAGCAGTGCAGCAGAGACAAAACTGTCAAAATGGACACGAGAGCCTGGAGGAATCCATATCACGACTATGATGGGAACCCAGCCTCAACACAGGCGTTGTTTGACTGCCAGGGAAAGGTAAGGCATAAAGAATGCATGCTCGTGCATCAGATTCCCGTGCAGAAACCCTCATTATTTAACATTTTCTCCACCTCCAGCTCACAGCAGAGTTTGCCCAGAGGCTGAGCAGCAAGATCAGTGAGCTGCTGGCTGTGATGGAGAACGGGCTGAAGTCTGCAGACCCAAGAGATTGCACCATTTACACCGGCTGGGCAGGTGATGACACCCTTACACATCTTTCATTAGTGACATCTTATTGTGTGATTGGATTTGGTGTCTTTGTGTCTGTAATGTCTTATTAATATTTAATGTATGCATGTATGACTGTGAGACTCATTGTGGACATGATTTGCATTATAAATGTCCCTGAATTTTTTTTTCATGCAATTAGATTTTCTTTACAGGTTATGATGATTTATTAAACAAACTCAAGGTCATACTCAATATTAGAAAACATGATTTACTAAGAAATGCAACTATAAGTACCGGTGTGTAACGGCAGCTGTTAAAAATAATAGATTTTTTTTTTAAATAGTTTTGAATCGTGAATATAAATCCAGTTTTCAGCCCGTCAACTATGGAGCTTTTCTCTGTTTTATATTATATAAAAGTGAACGTCTTAGCGTTTTTTGACTAGCAAAAAACAAGGCATTTAACACGTTTCTGACCTTTTTATAGCTTTTTCTAAAGTTATTTAATATTATTAATAGATCTGTAAGTAAGTAAAACTTTATTTATATAGCATTATTTTTTTAAATGTTCTATTTGAGACAGATGGGTAAAAAAAAAAGAAGGTTATTGAAGAAAGGAATATCCCGAGATTAGATTAGATATGTTTGTCACAAAATGTGCTTGTTTGAACAGTTAACATCACTGAAATGCATCCGTTCTTCCACAGGTATCGCTCTGCTTTATCTGCACCTCCACAACGTGTTCAGGGACACGTCCTTACTGCAGAGAGCTCTGGAATATGTGAGCCGCAGTCTGAAGTGTTTGACCCGGCGTCATGATGTCACCTTCCTGTGCGGGGATGCAGGGCCGCTGGCTATCGCTGCGGTGGTCTACCATCGCCTGCAGCGGGTGCAGGAGACCGACGAGTGCATCAACAGGTCAGTCTGAAACACAAAGGTACTGGGGGTCGTTTTTATTATGGTCTCTCGGATAGGTAATGGTAGGTAACATTTTAGCTTGTTATGTTCCAGAGTGCATGTTTTTGAGTCATTGAACTCAATCAAATACTGTGTCACATTCCATAAGGATATATGTAGCATCCTGTTATGTTTTAGTTTTTCCCAGACACAAGATAGTGGAGTTTCTATCAAATGTATTGGTGGTATATTTATTAAGGTATTTAGAATAAGGGTTTTGCTAAATATTAATATAATATCGCTATCCTGATACATATCCTACATTTTCTATGTTGTGATGTCTTGAAGGCTACATTACATTGAAGTGATGTCATTGTCTGAACTAAACCAACTGTTACTTACTGTCCTATACCTACTTAGCCATTATATTCACATTACTGATGATACTTTATCAAAAATCTCATAGTGTAAAGTATTTCTGAAAGCAGCAACGGTCAGTGCTACAATATCAACGAAATATCGGGGTAATTGATCAAAAATATTATGTTTGATTTTCTCTATTGCCCTGCCTTATTTCGAGTATGCATATTATTGTATAGGTTTTTGCAGGCTCAATAGATATTTTAAAAAGGGATATTGTGTCTTCGTAAACGCACAATTTGTAACACAAATGATCCACAAAGAATCAAAGACGGGTTAACTTACAACAGCACTTAGAGAGGTTGATCACAACATACCTAAATGCGTGTGATTGGCTGATTGTGGATGAACCAATCACACCGTGTGCTGCTGATCCAGTTAAATTAGCTCCCAAAGGTAGGGTTGTGATCGCACTTGTTACATTTGAATTGTAAACAGTCATTTGTGCATGACGAGGTCTCATGAATTCTCCTGTGCCTTGTTCCCAGACTGCTGCAGTTCCACCAGAACGTGGTGAAAGGTGTAGGCGGTCTGCCCGACGAGCTGCTCTACGGGCGGATGGGGTACCTGTACTCCCTCGTCTTCATCAACCAGCAGATGGGGCAGGACAGGATCCCGCTGCAGTACATCCAGCAGGTAGGTAGAGCATCACACTTTGAAACACCGGGTGTGAGGTGGTGAACATTTACTTTTGGTTTTGATCAAGGACAGGCTGACTGATCATTCAAGAAAGTACTTCAATGTTACATTAAAACGTATATAGTTACCTTAGACGAGAAGGGAAAGTGAACAACATGGGATAAAATGACTGCTAATTAAATACAAATCTACTTTTGGTTTAGATTACAATCTAACAATATTCTATAGTAACCACACTCGGAGAGGAAATTGAAACGTATTTAATAAAAGGGGTAGCAATGAATACAAAAAATAGGAAATCCTTCCACTCGGATATTTGTTAACAATTTACTTTGGAAATAATGCTATTTTTGGGTTATAATCTTCTCTAACTTTTACTTTGCTGCTCCCAGCTATCTCAATTTACGACACATTTGCTCGCTCTTGCTCATATTGATGTCCACGTTGCAAATGTATCTCCATTGGTCTTTTTGAATTGTACAGATTAGGCGTGTTTGTGAGGCGGGATGTGTTGTTTCCCCTCTCAGATCAGTGAGTCGGTGCTGGTGTCCGGCGAGCACCTCAGCAGGAAGTTCCGGGTGCAGAACCACAGCCCTCTGATGTTCGAGTGGTACCAGGAGCAGTACGTCGGCGCCGCCCACGGCCTATCGGGCATCTACTACTACCTCATGCAGGTCAGCCAACCTCCGGGGCGGAGCCAAGCCGCTGGTTTACACTCATTTCTAAAGGAGCAATGGCAGAACTTATTAATATTCATATTTCTACTCATTTCAAACGGGGTTAGGTTGTCATTCCTAGATACAACTAACACATATGCTCAGTTTTTTTTTAATTATCTGATAACTACAACTCCAAACAACTATATATCCAATAATGTATTTGATTTTGTAACTATTAAATGTTTAACTGCCCATCAAAGGTATCTAGAACCCTATATGAAACATAGTGAATTCAAGCTTAAGATATTACATTTATAATAATATAAAACAAAGAATTACTGCAAATATTCACCTTGTTTAAAAGCCAGAAACTGGGAATAGTGTTTAGTAAAGCACTATCTATAAATTGTTTAAATAAATTACTATTTGTTACATCAATAATGTTATCCCGGTTTGTTAAAATATGCATTTTAAATGATAATTTGTTAAATGTCCCATGTCATGGCCATTTCTACTGATCATAATTCCATTGTTGAGGTATACTAAAATAAATGTATATTGTGCAATTTTCCAAACTCACATTGGTTTCTCATACAGCATCTCTGTATAGTATGTGTATTCACTCTCTGTCCTAAACGGCTTGTTGGAGCTCCTGCCCCCCTCCCTGTGAGCCCAGTGGCCGTCTGCGAGACAGCGAGACACAACGAAACCCAGCCCGAAACACACACACACCCGCAGCCTGGCTGGGAGTTTGTGTGTGTGCCCAGGCTGAGTTCCGCGGTGTCTCGCTGTCTCGCCGACCCCACACCAGTGAGCCAGCTCAGTGTCCTGCTCCTCGCAGCAGCGAGCCTCGCAACGTCCCGCCGAGTGTGTGTGTGTGTGTGTGTGTGTGTGATGAAGTCCGCGGATTGGTCCAAACGTAACGGCTCCGCGGACGTAACTATACCCGAAATACGTCACTATACCCAAGAAGTAAACAATGGAAAAAGAGAAATCCCCAACGAGGCGTTCTGGGGCAGCATAGACAGGTCTTTTCTGTGTTAGAGTTTTACTCGCTACAGGGTGTACTTTGAGGGTTTGTGACTCTGCAGACCGTTTACATGCAGAAAAAGCTACATAACACACAAGGGGACGGGTAATAACAAGAAAAGCATGACATGGGACCTTTAATTCTATCAGTATATGGCTTACTGAATTAGCTTGCTTCGAATAAGAATTCAAATTGAAAGAACAAGTCATATAAGTAATGTAAAAAATGTTATTTTCTCCAAACATTTATTAATGAAATGTTTTGCCAATGTACCTGCACGTATTCTCTGTATCTGCCACCTTATCGTGAAGTTTGCACTGGTTTCTTCTTCATCCTGTTTAAACATGGTCTCTCCCCCCCCCCCCAGCCGGGATTCGTCTGCGTGGAGGAGTACGTCCACAGGCTGGTGAAGCCCAGCGTGGACCACGTGTGTCGCCTCAAGTTCCCCACAGGGAACTACCCCCCCCTGCATCGGGGACGACCGGGACCTGCTGGTGCACTGGTGCCACGGGGCCCCAGGGGTGGTGTACATGCTGCTGCAGGCATACAGGGTAAACAACATGTTTTTCTTTACCTGATGTCAGATGCAAAGGATTTACAGAGACATACGGTCATCTGTGGGGAACTTTAGGCCATTTCTGTTTTCATATATGTAATGACAATATGCTGTTAGTGCTGCTTGTGAGGTCTAGTAGGAAATGGTTCGAGTGTAGAAATCTTTTTTGTATAATTATGTATTTAACTTTATCCAGTATTATTGAGAAACCACAACACAGCCATCATTGAATCCAAACACTGTCTACACAAAGTCCCCATTCACATGAAGACAACAACTCCCTACATTTTAACATCTCTTTTCTTCCTCCTCCTCTTCCTCCCCCAGGCCTTCGGGGTGCCGCAGTACCTGGAGGACGCGCTGCAGTGCGGGGAGGTGGTGTGGCACTGCGGCCTGCTGAAGAAGGGCTACGGCCTGTGTCACGGAGCGGCGGGGAACGCCTACACCTTCCTCGCCCTCTACCGGCTAACACAGGACCCCAAGCACCTCTATAGAGCCTGCATGGTGAGGCGCGCACACACCGTGGAATATACACACTACACACACCGTGGAATATACACACTACACATCGCTCACACAGGGCAACGGGTATTCAGACGATCAGACATTAGTGGGGGCTCCTGTAGGATCAGTCTTATGGCGCATTTCCACTGCAGGGCCTCGCACGGCTTAGTACGGTATAGTTAGGCCTTGGTAGGCCAGGCTCACTTTATGCTGTGTTTCCATTACAGTTTACTAGCTGGGGCAGTAACTATAGTAACGCAGTGTAGGCGGAGCCGTGACGTCATCTTCAATGCGAAACACAAAACCAACATTAGCCGTTAGCTGTTAGCCCTCAGAGCTCACAGCTCCTCATATCTGTTCAGAAACTAGACAAAAGTTAAACAAGTACAAACCCCAGACTGTCTGTGTCATGGCGAATACAGTCGCTGCTTTATGTATGTCTGTAGGCCGTTGTTGTGAGTGTGGACGGTCGGAGCATATACTGCGTTAGCTTATCCGATCTCCATTTAGAACACACGCATTCTAAAAGGTGTTTCGCCTGCCGTCTGTCTGCAGACTTGTCAAAGCATTAATTCATGGTTTTTACTAACCGGTATCAGTATGTTGTTACTTCGGCATCATTTTTGAAACGTGTCTTACAATTAAATCACGGTCAAATATGTTCATTTTGTTGTAGTTGCCAGCGATTCTCTCACTAGTTTAGCATACTCAGTTGTTGGCCCAGAAAGAACCTCGATTTTGGAGAGCCAGAAAAACGGTGAAAAAGTACCCGCTAGCCGGAACTACGCCTAGTGGAAACGCAACCAAAAACGGGCATGGCACGCTTAAACCGCACTCCGCGCTGTAGTGGAAATGCGCCATGAGTGTCCAAATACTTGATAAATGCGGCAGTGGAGTTATTTTCTCATGTGTGTCTTTACCTGCTTATAAATAATTTAAAATAAAATATGTACCATGCTTTTTACCCACTGTGTTTATACTATTATAATGCCACAATAAATAGGAAAAAAGGCATTTTATAATCCGTTTTTTGAGGCTTTATATTGCGTCTTTCTCTGACTTAGATCCAAGATGTCAAAGTCATATTAAACTTCTCACAAAGGGCAAGCAATCAGAGCACAATTGGCCCCCCGCCAGCCTTAAAACAGATCATTATTATTCCTGGATCCAGGTGCGTGTGAGAAGCGGGGCCTTTTATGTTTTTAGACAAAAGCTTGGTGGCTGTCGGTGCGAGTGTTCCTCTCTGGATGCGCTCCAGGTGGCACGAGTCCCACGTGTACTATCATGAATATGGATCTATTCACAGAGGATGGAAATAGACTCTTCACATGTCTCGCCTAAGCTTGGATACTCGCTCCGCAGCGACATTGTGGTCATAATCCGAAACCTCCAACAGATGCTAGGATTTCACTGAGAGGAGCACCATTTTTAGCAGGTGTTGATATTGTTTGCTATCCTCCAGGGGTCAGCTGCAATCCAGTGTTGTGATAGGATGGGAATGTTATTATGACACTATCTGCCTTTGTCTCTCCACAGTTTGCTGACTGGTGCATGAACTATGGCAAACATGGATGCCGGACGCCTGACACTCCCTTCTCCCTTTTCGAAGGTAATATTCAATGACATGTCCCACTTATTACATTTTAATCAAATATTACCTTTATATTACCTCCTTCACTCCCCCTCCCCTCTCTACAATGAACTCACACACTACACATCTGTAACGGACATTGTGTTTCAGTATTGAGGACTTAGAATGCGATAAGTAAATAAAGACCATCCCTATCCTCTGTTATGTCTCAATATCAACTATTTGATATTGAGATTTGATGCAAGATTTAACCATCTTCGACCACTACAATTCATAAAGATTGTCTTGGAGTTGTGCCATTTTAAGAGTGCTTCTAGACTTCAGCATGCACATATACACCGTTTTTAAAATAGACATCACATTTGTACTGCAAGAACGAAGTGTATTGTCAACGCTCCATCAGCCTGGGGTTAGCATTTAGTGAGCTCACTTTAAAGGGGCGACTCTTACGCTAACCGTAGCACCTATTTTCACTCCAGTGTCTCGGCATGAGAGGATAAGGGACCTGTGTAAATGTGGCCATGATATTTTTAACAACTCCTAAACGTAGCTTGGCTTTGGAGTGTGTTTAGTGTCATTTCCTACCAAACAAGCTTAACTGAACAACAGAAACTGCTCTGTAATAAGTGATCATTTGCTCATGTTTCATTTGATCACATTCATTAAAGATAAAGCCGGTTTTATAAATGTTAGTGCAACATAAATGATCAACAATGCGATACAGGACTGAATAAAATGACACATTTATGCATATTTTGGAAAGACAATTGTAAAACTGCAGAGGTTGAGTTAACCGAATATTTTCCGTCTATGATGGAAAAATCTGAAAGCCGTCCATCATTTTGACAGATTAGAACAAACTCAGAACCGCGCCAAAGTTTCCCCGCAGCGGGGCTCCGGTATTATGCCGTGTTATGCATGCCCGCCCAAAAGGAAATTATATCGTTTCCAAATCTAACTTTGCCGAACAGATCAACAAAAGTATTTGCTTAACGCTGTGCACGCTCCCGCGAGGTGCTATGGGCATGCACAGATAGGGATCTGGGCATGCATAACACAGCGCTAACAGTTCACGAGCTGTTAGCGCAACCTCTGAGTTGGAAAACCAAAATCATAAGAAATACAGCAAACAAAATTAATATTAACCTTAACTAGGGTTTTCTGTATGTTTATTGTCCTGTATGATGTTTGTGTAAACTCACCGCATCACTTCCTGTTCACAGGCATGGCTGGCACCATCTACTTCTTGGCCGACATCCTGCAGCCAATGAAAGCGAGGTTCCCCTCCTTCGAGGTGTAGACGTGTTCCCACAGGTAGTGCCCCCCCACCCACACTGTGGGAAGGAGAAGACCCACACACTTTTGCTCTGTGTCACACTCATGCATGAAACACTACATTCACAACGATCGACATTGTGCCATGTTTTTCCTGCTCTTCTCTCCCGGGAACTCTACATGTTATTAAACAGGATAAGTCCTATACTCGCATTTCAAACATAAGAGCTTGCTTTTTTCGTTCCTTAATTTGTGTATAATTGCTTTCAAAACTGTGGATGTTGCTCAGATTGTGACATATTTTGAGGGTGAAGTAAAAAAAACAGTAAGGGAAATTAATTTTCTGGATTTAAAAAAATAAAATTGTGGTTAAAAAAAAAAGAAGGTGTTTTTGCTAACACTTACAAATGTGTTTCTATTCTGCATAGCTTGATATGGTAAAAAAAACAATGGATGCTTTTTTGGTTTTCTTTTCTTTACAGTGTCAACAGCAAAGCTAGTAACAATGCACTAAATATAATACGGTGCCATGTGTTAAGGGATCAACCCCCGAGTGTAAACTGTTGCCTGTCCTTTGCACTGTCTGAGCAATAAACCATGTGTCTTTTTACAGCTGTCGCTCTGTAGTCACTTCCTGAAGCTCCCTGATCTTAATGTGGTGTACGCAGCAGCAAGGAACGGCCAGAAGGGGGCGGCAGCGAGCCTGCAATGTGAGATTATGTGGAGATTAACCTCTATCTGGAATATAAAGTACATTCACCTCAGCCAGTTTTGCACATGTTATGCTTATCGAATTAATTTTCCATATTCAGGCAGCTGAGATTAAAAGTGAATATATATAAGAAGACAACCAGAAAATCAAACTACATCCGACTAAATGAGGAATTAAAAGCGGTTACATGAAGATTCTGATGATCAATAACTGATACCTCCATAAAGGCCAACAATGCATTCATTTTCGTTTTTCTTTAAGTTGTGACGTTAAAAACAACATCAAGGTTCTCTCTAAATATGTGTTTCATTTTTATTTATCTGAGCGTTCGAACGATATGTTGATATGTTTCCGAGTTCTGACAAGTGGGGGGTGGTCTTTTCACAGTCCGGGACCCCTTCTTTCCGGTTATTCCACATTGTAAATACAGCACGGATGCCCTTTCTTGCAATGTTGACGCAAAATAATGTGTGCATCCAAGCCGTGTTGCAGATCTCGTCTCCACTTCTATGATTTCTTCCTTTGCCTATGTTACACCTTTTCCCATCAAGCTATATGAAAATTGAATGAAATTTGACAAGAGATCGAGCAGAAAACACTGCCTCATAGTGCTTTAAAAGTTAATAAACAATGCTTTTTAGTTCATTTAATACATTTAAAAGAAACACTTCCCATTATGTTGTCGGTCTTGTCTTCATTATGTAAAAACGTTGTCTTTTAAAGCCTGACATAAAACAGGAATGCAGGAGAGCTTCACATTTGACCTCTCTCACATTGTGTCGCTCGGTTTTAAGGCTCTCATAAGAACCCCATATCAGCGGCGGGGGTCTCCAATCCTCTGTCCCTCTCTCTGGGTTACTTGGCTCAACGGGTCGCCTCTCTTTTCCAAATAAGGCTCACGTAACGCTCCTGAAAACCAAGCGACGACACAATGCCACCGCTCTTTTTTAAGCCCGCTAGACCGTGCTTCTTTATGACCTGACGCCAGCTGGGGCCTCGCAGGGGAAAGCGGAGGGGTCTGCTGCGCGGGGCGGTTACTATACCGGAGGGTCTCGAGGAGCGTTCATTTTCTCTACCCCCAACTCCACAGAGCCGGAGTAGGAGAAACCGGACACCTCCGGGGGGTAAAAATAGATCTCATCTGTCCAGGGGAGTGGTCTTTCACTCTGGGTCACTCACACAAATCCTCTCTTCTTCTTACACAACGGGATACACACAATTAGTGAATCACCCAACCCCTGTGCACGCTGCCTCTGTGTGTATCTGCACCCCCCCCCCCTCAGCTGTGTCTTTAAAACTAACTTTTTAATCACACCCCCACAGTCTTTTTCGTTTGTTTTGAACGTGGTATAACCTCTTTTGGCTGTTAATGTGTCCATGTACTTGTCTTAACTTGCTCTGTTATCGCTGCATTTCACGATCAAAATAAATAAATAACCACATGCTCACTTTTTGATGTTTTTCAGTTGGCACCCAAATATTTTATGACCAACAAAAAACACTAAATAATCCCTTTTTTAGGCACAAAATCACTAATTGTTATTATAGTGAAAATCTGTGTATAGTAAACTACGAATTAATGTTTTTTGTTTACGTCCAAATGCCTAAAACACTGATTATACTGAATGTGTCCGTCACACGGTGCGTATTTATTTTCATCTCGTACTGTAACCTTTAATGTAGTGATAATCTTTATAACAAATGTGCAGTTCTAAAAAACAAGTGGAAAATGGATTTAAATGCACATGCAAAACACTTTATATTCCAAGGTGCAAGACCTTGTTTTTTTATGTTAAACCGTATTAATAATTCTGCAAGATTAAAAACCTGAGAACTCCTTCAGTGTATTGAGCATAAATCATGCGAGGAACATCATTTATATTCGGTCCAATCAAAGTAAGTATAACATTTGTTTCCAATTTTCTTAATTGTGCATGTTTTCAAGACAGAATTGTACTCCTGTGAAGTCGTTTTGTAGCAGATGTTAACAGTATTTGTATACATGAACTTCATTAATAATAGATTCCTTTTGATAGTGCCATCAGCACCATGGAGAGCTCTGATGGAGGAAAAAGGCACACTGTACTTGGTCGTTCGACCTGCAAAGATTATGCAATACAGTCTACTGGGTAAGCCATTATTATCATTTGTATATATATTTAATCCTCTCCTTAAATGACATGCTATAGTGTAATGCAACTGACCATTTTTATAATTGAATAATTTGACAGTCATTATTACTTTCTCTATAAAATGTCAGAAAACATTTTTTTAAATATCAATCCCACTTTGTATTTAAATAACTTGTTCTGTCACTCCAGACTTGAAGATTTACAATTGAATATGGTTCAAAAAGCGAAATGTATTCATAGGTAAAATGGTGAAAATGTATTGAAATCAAAATGCTTGGTGATTCATGTATCGACCGATTGTTGCAGCTGCATTTGAAATCCAGTTTCTAAGCGGACTGACTGTCCTATTTGACTCATTCCAACTTTTCCAACGTGTTTTGCCGTGCTGTTATTTCACCATAAGTGGAGCAGTCTCACAGTTTAAAAATAAAGCTTGTAAACGATCCCTCTGGGCTCGCAGCCGCTCCAACGTGGGCCACTAGGCATCGGAGATTTCTGCATTTTCACCGACTTGCTTCAGCTGTGTGAACCCCCGGAGAGAAAACACTTTAATCAATGAATGCATTTTTTTTTTCTTCATAGGAACAGGATCCAAAAAGGTTTCCAATTCCGACCTCCAAGTCTTGTCTTGCCACGGTTATTTATATCTAAAAATATCCCCTAACCCTTCTAAAGGCTTACCCCCGCTGCGCCTGGTGCTCAGCTCTCCTTTCCGTCAGCCCTAAGAAAGTTAAAGATGTTCCAACTGGTCATCTGATCCGCCCCCCCCTCATTAGCATATGTGATGTCATGGTCCCGGGATAAATAAGAGGGGGCTTTGAACAGGGCCCACGACCACTCTGTCTTGGGACTTCAGCTTTGCTTCTCCTTTTTCTTTCCGCTCATCCAGACCCAACTCTGCAAAATGGTGTGTACATAATTGTGTTTTGGACCTTTTGGGTGGGGGCGGTTTCCGATGGAGTTACCTATTTTTTTTTCAACAAGGGATAATTCTTTGTGGCATGCGGATACCATCTCTCCAAAAAAAAAAAAGCCACAGAATTTGGACTTAAATTGCATCACTGAAATCAAGACTGGCATTTTTGATACTTCTCTGAAAAGTCTTAATAAATTACAATAAAAGTTCAAGAATACTTTGGAATACATTGAACATTTCTATTATGCTTGTATGTCAAATCGAGGAACGTGTAATTTCCCCCTCCATCACTTGCATTTACTTCAGTTTTTGGCATGTATTTTTGTTACTCAATCTTCCATAAACGCGTCTGTGTAACTCATCCATCATTTGTTTTCATTCATTTCTCTGTGTGTATGTGTTCGTTCCTTTTTTGTGTATTTCCATGTGACAGGCCGAAGAGGCAGCCGCCCCCGCCGCAGCAGAATTCGCTCCGGCAGAGATTGAGGGTAAGTCAAGAAACAGCGAAAAAATAACTTCCCATGTGAAAAACGGTCATTAGAATCCCACCCTCTCACCATCATGAAAGCCCCAAATCGAGTCCAAAAAAGTATTCTCTACACTAAACAAAGGTGAAGTAGCTGCAGGCTAGTTAACCCTCAAGTCTAAATGAACTCCTAAAAGGTGGATAAAGAAAGACCGCCGTTGCATGCCAGGCTTGTCCAGTTGTCGGGAAGAATTTGAGATATGTTTATTCTAAGCCGACCTACCCGTGTCTTGTGCACAGCAGAGGCGTTAATCCCTGGGTCAAGGCCCAAGACGGGGCCCTGCGGCATCCCGTTACAAGAGGCATCCAAACTATGACCGTCCCAAAGCCTTTTGATGTAGCCGGAACTAGAGATGTGCCCTTCATTAAAATGACCCTACGTCTGGTGGAAACCATTTTTTTACGTGATATATGATCTAGAAGTGAATTAGTTTAAAGATTCAGAAATCCCTTACCCCTGTATACGTGGCACAGCTGCAATGGGGCAGTCCCGTCAAGTTAATTGGTTTGTATAGACTTTCAATTTGGCAAAAGTTGCACCCATTGAAAAGATTGCTGCTTCTGCACATTCTGGTACATTCAGACTGTTGGGATACCTGCAATGTAAGACGAGGTGTTAATTACAGCACAGTCAGCATTCTTGTGTTTAATTTGAGGAGGCCTTTGGACCATGCCCCTATAAGGACTGCACTACTCTGTCAGGGGGTATCGGCTTGCTCCCTAAATGCAAGGGAAGGCAGGAATGGAGAGGGGTGTGGTGGGGGGGGGGGGGGGGGGGGGTTGGCAGGTACAGCTGTTCCTCAGGCTGCTGCTGTACAGACCGTTAATCTGCCAATGAGATCACTTTGAGTTGGCTTCCTGGTAGGATTCAGACAAACAGCTAACCTTTGTCCGAGCTTCACTTGGTACCTAACACACCTCTTGCTTGGGCACAGCTGACAATTCCAATTTTCTTGGAACAATGGCAGAAGAATGCCACTTCTAATGTCTTTGATCCTCCAACCAAATGTGACAACACATGGCTGCCATACCTGACGAAGAACCCTGTGAAATTATGAATATAAAACCCAAAAGCAAAGGGATCAAGTTGACAATGTTACTAGCATTAATGTGGTACCAGACAGACTGAGTATTATTTGTATTCCTCATTAAACCATAAGACCATAAGGAGAGGGTAGACACCAAGGTCATGTTGCTTTTTGTTGTTGTTTGTTTAAAGTATTAAGTATATTTTACAGTGTGTTTTGCTGAAGTGGATGAATATGTAAAGTTCAATGAATTAAGGTTAATTTGTATTAGTTGGATCGTTTTTATTAGTTTCATACGTTAGTTACCTAAAACAAACCTGGCAGCCAGTTGGTTTTTGCAAGGGCTATCACTGAGGACCATTTTAAGTTATTTTCACCAACTTCTCTCAGTACTTAGTAACTCAAAGTCCTCTCTCCCCTTTCCTTACCAGAGTTCAAGGAGTCTTTCGGGCTCTTCGACAGAGTCGGTGACAGCCAGGTTGGCTTCAACCAGGTCGCTGACATCATGCGCGCTCTGGGCATGAACCCCACCAACAAGGCCGTTGTTGCTATCCTTGGCAACCCATCCGCTGATGGTGAGCCCCCATAACTCTATCCAGTCTTCATTGTTAGAGAAATGTTTGGGTTTGTCACGCCTTTCAGTGGTAGTTTATGGTGCGTGACATTTCTCCACAGACATGGCCAATAAGAGGGTGAACTTCGAGGCTTTCCTTCCCATGCTCAAGCAGGTTGACGCGATGCCCAAGGGTACCTATGATGACTACGTTGAGGGTCTGCGCGTCTTCGACAAGGAGGGCAACGGCACAGTCATGGGCGCTGAGCTGCGTATTGTGCTGTCCACCCTGGGTGAGCAACCTAAATATAGAAGTGCAGAAATACAATCTGCTTAGCTCAGAACATGTGTGTGAAATGGAAGAGCTGACATTGGTCCATCTACAGGAGAGAAGATGAGCGAGGTCGAGATTGATTCCCTCATGACCGGCCAGGAAGACGAGAACGGCAGTGTGCACTACGAGGGTAAGCCTTGATTTCCCAGCATGCCTTCAAGTCATTTTAACAGCTGTCATCATGGGACAGATTTAACCCTATGGTTTTGTTTTTCTCCAGCTTTCGTCAAGCACATCATGTCTGTATAAGTGGCCAGCAGTAGGAGTGCTGAAACTGTAGCTCGCCTACAGACAGCCCAACGGTGTTCAGGACATCTACACTATACCAAAGACCAACCAAGGAAAGACAAGGACTATGTACAAGGGATGTTGAAGCAAACCCATCTTGTTGTTTATTTTGTATTTCTTGCCATCTCGTCTCCAACCCTCCTTTTCTCGGGACATCTCCGCCATCAACCACTTCCGTTCTAGAACCCACCATCACTTGGCCTTCGCTCCACCCGCCGCATGGGGTGAGGAACGGGGGAGAAGGGATGACCGCTCATCAAGTGAGGGTAGATCCCTCCCTTCCCACCGCCACCACATCCAGTCACGTCATCACTGGCCCAGCAATGCCAAAGGTGCTGGGGAGCGGCCGTGGATAGACCGCCAACAAGTCACCCACTTCCCCGGAAAGTTTTATTTATTGTCTGTTCATTTCAAAATAAACTTTTCCAACGTACATCCCATTTGGGTTAAGTCTTGATCTTTTATTGCCCACATAAAGCCGTAGATATGTTAGTATCAGACCGTCCATTCACCCGCAAATGAGAAGATTCAGTCAAATGGTAGTTAATTGTCGTGTAATGTATTGATTAGGGGTTTAAAAATAGTAAACAAAGTCTCACCATATAACCTTTTTACAAATGTATAACAAAAAGAAGAAATTAGCTTGTTTTTAACTTATTTAGAAACTTGAAAATGTTTCCAAGTCGAGCACCAAGCATCAAAGCTAACCCCTACAACTTTTCCCAAAATGGCCTAAACAGAACTCCGTTAATCTGCCTGCGAGCTATTACACAATTATTATATATTGGAAGCCATACCTTTAATCTCCCTAATCATTCTCTTTTGTTTTAAACAATACTGCCGGTTACTCAGTCTGTCAGAAAAACGTAAGACTCAATGATGTCAATGACTTAGCAAACACTTATACTGGGCTTTGAGACTTAGTCTTAGACTTTAATGGATACCTCAGAATGAAGACTATGATATTAAACACGATCCAGAAAGCTTATATGCATTTAATTTGTTAAAAAAGCTATATTCTCTGCGGAGACAGTTTGCAGAGTCAGTCAAATGCATACAGTACAGTACACAATGTTAATAGACATATGAGGCGGGTGGTTATATACAGTATGCATGAATATCTCAGTATATATAGCATGCAGTATTTGCATTTGACATTGACGGATGATACGCACATGTTGAAGTATTTCAAACTTTAGTCTCGCAGGGTTATTGAAACCGTATGACCTTTTTAACTGTCCATCAGAGGCAGGGTGTGTGAAAAAAGATACAAGGATATTTTAAACAGCATTTTCTGAGTGTGTCAGAACATAATTTATGCACATTTGTTCAATGAATAACTTTGCAGACCAACACTTTCACATACTGCTTGATTTGTTTTGCATCCCATTGAAACAAGGACCAGGAATCAGACAGGAACATGTTGGTTTTGGTATACCATTGCTCATTAATGCACTTGTGTCCCGACTCTGTCACCTTAACTTACCCGTGTTTGTTTGTTTTTTAATGAATGTGGGGATAACAAGACTGGGGCAGACAAGTTGTGTTACTGTTAAACAGCCATGGTTATAGTTGAACCCTTGTGTGGTGTAAGGTCAAGTTGATGAGTTCAAAGATTTATACTTAAAGTAAACAAATACAAAGATTTTTGTTTTAACCTGAAACTAAATGACCTTAGCTTATTTTTGTAAAAAACATATATATATATATATATTTTTTTAAAACGACATATGACTTGTGCTCAAACCCTCCCACATATTAACGTCCTTAATTAAATGTTAGAGTCAATTTGACCGCATACAATACTGAGACTTACTGTCACAGAAACACACAAAAACGTTATACTAAGATAAAGATACAAATCAATCCATAATCGGTTAAAATAACAAACATCAATACAACATTGTTTCATGTGTATGTTGCTGGAAAAGCATGAATATGCAACCAAAGGCTTTATTACTTCGGGTGTGGATGTTTACATTAAAAAAAAGTACATAATACTGCCGATAGGTGTCGGAGTTACGTAAGAATAGCTCATAAAGCTTTAGTAGAAGAAGACATGCGGTGATGGAGGATATAACAGGAGGTCTTACTATGGTTCTTATTATAAGACCATGGTCTTACTATGGTTGCGGTCGAATAGTCCATTTAGCTTAGGAAAACACTGGACCTTCCTTTACGAAAGGAGAGGAGAAAGTGCTGCCTTGCGGCGGCAGCATTTGCCGTCACACAACAGTCGGCCGTTCACGGAAACAACCGATTATGACCGAGAAATGATATCATGAAAGTTACGGTGCTTATTAACCATTTTAAAACGTATGTGGTAACTTGCCTTGTAACTTTGTTTTGAACGTTCATCGGTATTATAATCCAAAAGATCAATATGAACGTAAGTTTTTACTGAAATGATCAAATAAAGTCAACATTTCACAGTCTTTACTGAGCTGTCTGGGGTTTGTTCAACTTTTAAAAGATGTTTTAATTTTTGGTGATGTACAGTGATAGATGTTAAGGACTAACGTTTATAATAAATACATTTGTATTTATTGTAAGATCTTTTCATACAATCATACGTATTGCCTTGTATTAATGTGGACCGGAGGGAGAGGATGACGAGCATAAGTTTCACTTTCCTTTTTTATTTCAATTCCAACTTTGGTCATGAAGAATATGTTTCTCTGTTGTCCACGTTCATAAAGCATAAAGCAACAGCATCAGAGCACGGTGCAGAGTCTCTAGATGAGTTTACAGTAGTCCATCGTTCATATTATAGCCTACATCCATTTAGTCCGCTGTATAGAAAACTGTAGTTTCCATAGTTTCCCATGGATGTATAATAAGAACTGGATACAGCGTGGGAGGCGGGGCCTCATTCATTCCTATGAGAGTTGCTCATTCGCGCATGATGATAAAATGGCCCAACTTTTGAGAGAGCGAAACGTCACAGATTACCCGGCATGCCTGAGAAGTACCCGTATGTGCGCTCATAGCGCATGCGCAACTTTAACCATGCCCCCCAAAATGCTCGTTCACATCAAGCACGTCAATTTGCGTACACGTAACAGCACCGCACGTTCATGACAGCATGGTAATGGATTGTTATTATGATAGATTTGATATTAACGAGGCGGCAGTTAGCAGCTAGCGGTTAGCTAGTAATTATGCTAATTTACACATCAATCGTTATGTACTTTTATATTACGCTGTAACAGGATCTAGTGATATCCAAGCAACAGAGCTTCATTTAGCATGAAAGAATTATTGCACTGTATATATATATATGTATGTACATATATATATACATATATATATATATACATATATAGACATATACATACATATACATATGTATATATATATATGTATATATATGTATATGTATATGTATATATATGTATATATGTATATATATACATATGTATATATATATGTATATATGTATATATATGTATATATATACAGTGCAATAAACTTCTTAGTGCAATAAGAAGCTACAGGGACGTTAATCTACGTCGGTAATATTAACTTTATTTAATACAACATTTACGGTACAAGATTTAATCATACAGAGCCCATGTAGTATAATATTTTACAAATGATGAATTACAGCAAACATGTGCAATATATCCAGTGGCGTTTTTATATGTACAAAAGTGGTGGGGCACAAAAAACTTAGATGTCTATATATAAGCTTCTGCAGTGACGTGCAGTGAGGTTCATGGCTGGTGAGGCACTGGCACTGACTCTTCAGGTTTACAAATATTATATTTTGACCTAAACCAAAATATAATATTATTTTCAAAAGCTTTTTTTGTCTGATGCTTCGATTAATTTTAAACAGACAGTTCAACAAAAGGATACCCAAAAAATGTAATTTTATCATTTAAATATTGAATTGTTCTCTCTTAGTAAGATCCCATTTTCAATAAAATTGCGGTCTTACCTTGACTTGAAGATGAAGTCCATTTTCCTATCCTTCTGGACAAACATTTCTATTACTTTTTTGTAAAAGTCCTCCTTATCTTCTTGTAGTTTCAAAAGTCTATCATAAATCTAATGTAGATTTATGATAAAAAAATTATAAAAGTAGGGTAGACATGTGGATATTATCCGGCTAATCAAAACGTGCATTTATCTAACAGGTACGTTTCCCACAGATCTTATTTCGAGCTATTTTCTAAAATCCTCTGGAGAAATCTCATTGCTTTTTTGTGCTTACTTCCTGGTTTTAGGACGCGCCACTGCAGCTCTCTCGTCTCCTCTTCAAGCACCACACTTTTCGCGGCACACGTACTTACAGCCAATCAGCTCTGAATGATTTGAGATGACGTATGGTGGGGATGGTAGCTCCGTGCCCCTCTGGTCATTATTTTTTTGCCACACACATTACATAGAAAATACTCTGAGCATGCGCAGTGTAGTTTTTACAGTCACCGTTCACTTCACAGCGAGAGGAAGGGGCATCATCAGGTTTTGTCCCACATGGCTCTAAACAGCTCAATAGGCACACACTGTGACTGTAGACACACTAATTAGAAGAACACAGACTAAAACAGCAATGTACAGACGAATCAGATGATTAAACATGATCTTAAAATATATTTTATATATATATATTTTTTTTTTTTTTGCATTTTTGTAATCATTATTTGTAATACTTTCTGCTGACACTAGGTGGGGCTGTGCCCCACCTGCCCCTAATGACCAGTCGCCACTGAATATATCCATTATTACAGCTCCGTGGGCTGGCAGTAAGGCGATATGGGTCCGTTCTTATTGTGCATCCATGGGTAAAGATAAACGCATGTAGTGCTGAACACGTAACATGAACGTGCCGGGCGGCGCGGTTCCGTGGGTTAGATGCGCGTTCATAATGCAGAGGGAAATAACTCACAGAATAACGTTATTAGCACATTTTTACAACTTGAGGAACGAATGTTTTTAATAAGGGCTATACAAGTGTTCATACTGGGTAGTTTATTTAGTTTAAAAAAAATTATCCAACGATTTACAGACCACTCTTTCCCCATGTAAGTCAATGGGAAAAAGTGTTTCCGGGCCTGGCAACCAAAAGGAAGTGTATTACCGCCGTTTGGCCACCACGAATATTTTCATCTGAGTCCGGCGCACTTCCTGGGGGCTTGGGGAAACTATGGAAACTACAGTTTTCTATACAGTGGACTACAACATGGATGTTTAATAAGAACGAGGGACTACTGTAAACTCATCTTGAGACTCTGCACCGTGCTCTGATGCACATTAATACAAATGATCCCAATAGCCTACGTATGATTGTATGAAAAGATCTTAAAATCAATACAAATGTATTTATTATAAACGTTAGTCCTTAACATCTATCACTGTGTATATCACCATTCAAACATATTTTAAAAGTTGAACAAACCCCACACAGCTCAGTAAAGACTGTGAAATGTTGACTTTATTTGATCATTTCAGTAAAAACTAACGTTCATATTTCTCTTTTTGATTATAATACTGATGAACGTTCAAAACAAAGCACTTTGGCAATTTACCACATACGTTTTAAAATGCTTAATAAGCACCGTAACTTTCATGATATCATTTCTCGTTCATAATCGGTTGTTTCCGTGAACGGCCGACTGTTGTGTGACGGCAAATGCCGCGGCCGCAAGGCATTGTGGGGCAGCATTTTCTCCTCTCCTTTCGGTTAGGGAGGTCCAGTGGTTCCTAAGCTAAAGGAGGTTATAAAGGAAGTTTGAAACCTCCTTTCCTTTCATTTAGAGAATTCGAACGGCACTTATCATGGCTGCCACTGAGGGACTTCCGGGTCATTTCACTCCGTTAGGAAGGTTCCTAAGCTAAATGGACTATTCGACCGCAACCAATGATTAACCATGCCAGAGGAGGAGGAGCCAGTAGCGTCTACAGAGCATATATATATACAGTCTATGCTACAGAGTGAGCCCTCTTCCTCACGCAGAAGATCTTTGGGTTGTTGTCATCACTGTGAACCTGTGTAGAAGATGTTTGCTAAAAAAGTTAACAAAACTTTTCTTTGGGGCTTGAAGAATGTCTCCGCACCGAAACAGGCGATCCCTGTGGCTGTTGCAAGGTACAATATATCTTTATAACGGTCATGTATAACTTCTGAAGTGAAAATATGTTTAGATAGTTGCTTACGTTGAGAAATATATCTATACTTTAACGTTACCCTGGATTCCTACACCCTGTATTTTGATTTAAGTAAATTAAGCATGTATGGTCTAACACACTAATATTTACTTTATATTATTTTATTGTAATCTAACGTAATCGACTCAAAGTGGGTCATGACCTTTGACCAAGTCTCTTTTTAATACTTAAGGTTAGGTAAGTTGATTTAGATATTTGTTGTTCAGGAACATTGAACAACTTGCTAAAATATCATGATTGCTTTATATAACTTAATATATATAACTTTTGTTATAATTGTATTGAGTAGTGTAATAATATTTTTAAAGTAATTATTCTAGTTTTAATTCAACAAATGACAGGATCTGAAATGATTAGTCGATTAATCAATAAGTGGATCAACAAAAATGGGGGTCTGAAATAGTTTTGATAATGATTAAGCGTTTCAGTCTTATTTCAAGAAAAAAATAATAGCCTGTTAATCTTAAAGTTTGTGAATGCTGTTCCCCCCCCCCCCCCCCCCCCCACCCTTATACAACAAATAAAGTACCTTTTATTTCTCATGTGTTTAAAATGATTGATGATTTGGTTGCATTTACTGAAATTCCATCTAGGCAACAGCACAACCGTCCAGAGACGTCCAGCGCCAAGTCCCTGATGGACATCGGAACCCGGCGGATCTTCAACGAGGACCATGACATCTTCAGACAAAGTGTCCGGCGCTTCTATCAAGAGGAAGTGATTCCATACCACTCGGAGTAGGTAGAAGCGTGGCACAGACCCAGGTAATGTATGTAAAGTATTTCCACTTTACTAAATGTTTTCCCCTTGTGCCAGGTGGGAGAAGGCCGGTCAGGTGAGCAGGGAGGTGTGGGAGAAAGCTGGCGAGCAAGGCCTGCTGGGAGTTATGATCCCAGAGGAGCACGGAGGCATCGGAGCAGACCTGTTTTCTGCGGCTGTCGTGTGGGAGGAGCAGTAAGTTGATTTAAAAATGAAATGATTGAATAATGAAATCAAACCTTTTTTTAAATGTCTTTATTCGTTTGTCCTCCAGGATGTACTCCAACTGCTCAGGCCCGGGATTCGTGCTGCACTCTGACATTATCATGCCCTACGTATCGAACTATGGGACCAAGGAACAAATTGAACGCTTCATCCCCGAGATGACAGCTGGGAGATGCATCAGCGCTATCGCCATGACGGAGCCAGGAGCGGGCAGGTAAGGTCTTCGGCATTTCTTTTTTTTCTAAACAACCACATGAGGTTTGTGAGGAGCTTTGATGACCCGCCATCTTTTTATTTTCAGTGATCTTCAAGGTGTGAAGACATACGCTAAGAGGGATGGCAGTGACTGGATCCTCAATGGCAACAAGGTAGCAGAATTGTGAAATGATTGTGATTTTTAAAACCATTTTATGCCACATATGATGAGAATATAACACGGTGCACCAAAATATGTTCCTGAAAACATTTCAGAAAGTTATAGGCCACAGGACTAGGAAAGAGTCATAGAAGCATAAACTGTCCGTGCATCTCAACTTCACCTTGAGGTCTTTTCCAGGTGTTCATCTCTAACGGTTGGATGTGCGACCTGGTGGTGGTGGTTGCCGTGACGAACCGTGAGGCGAAGGTGGCGGCGCACGGCATCAGTCTGTTCCTGGTGGAGAACGGCACCAAGGGCTTCCAGAAGGGACGCAAGCTGGAGAAGATTGGTCTGAAGGCCCAGGTGCTGGAGCTCAAGGGTTGGGGAAGATCTAGCATCAGGGGCAAAGCGACACTGATTCTGCCTTCTAACTATTTGTTCCTTACTCTTTTACAGGACACAGCCGAACTGTTTTTTGAGGATGTACGGCTCCCTGCGGACGCCCTCATAGGGGAGGTCAACAAGGGTTTCTACTACCTGATGAACGAACTGTCCCAGGTGAACTACTCCATAAATCCGCTTAAATTCGAACAATAATCCTATAACTCAAAACATTGCCTGAGGATCTTCAAGTTTTTACAATTTTCTCAAAATCAAAGAAATCCAAATATCGTAGTCATGGGTGCACAAACTAAAGCATGATCATCCCCAAAATACAAACACTAATACAATAAAATAACATTTAAAATAACAAATCCAATAATAATAATTAATTTCTTCAATATAATGGCATTTCAAATCATTGTCTTTGCCTTGTGCTTTACTAATCTTTGACAGTCGCTCGAGTAAACCATTAAATGTTTCCGGTTAGTTTCATGGTGAATCATTTTTATAATTTTGCGGGAAAGGAGCGTTTGGCCGTCGCTGGCATGGCCATCGCGGGCTGTGAGTTCATGTTTGAGGAAACCAGGAACTATGTCATGCAGAGGAAAGCTTTCGGAAAGACCATCGCTCACCTACAGGTCTGTATAACAAGGTTTTGTTATATTATAATTAGGGCTGTCAAGTTAACGCGTTAATAACGCGTTAACGCAAAAAAAAATTAATGCCACTAATTATTTTAACGCGATTAACGCATGTGTATTTTTTGTCCTCGGCCGCCGTAGTTTCAGAGCGCATCGAGTTTAAAATACCATCTACAAGCTGATGCTGACAGCCCCGCTCCTGCTGCCCGCTTGTGGCAGACCACACTTCCACGCTCACCGGCAGGCCCGGACTGGCCATCGGGAGGACCGGGAGGGTGTGTGTATGTGTGGCGCGAGCGAAGCACACCTTACGTGTTGTTGTTAGCATCTGGTGCTAGCTAGCTGAGCTAACGGATATAAGGAGCTGTTTCAATGAAAACAGAGGAGCGACATTTCGCCGACAACTGCGCCGAGCACTTGACTTTATGCAGGTAGCCAGACAGCACACTCAGCACGGATAGTGCCGCAACACAGCTCATACACACAGGCATATATGCCTTGAGCTGCACATAGCTCCAACAATCCATCACAGTGTCTCCACACACATACACACACACACACACACATACACACACACACACACATACACACACACACACACACACACACACACACACACACACACACACACACAGTATTGTATTATTGTATGAGAGAGGTTCTAGGTTGAATTGAGGCGAATATTTGTAATGTTCAGAGGTTGTTGTGTTTAATATTCATGAGAATATTTGTCATTGTTCAAATGATAATAAACAAACATATAAAGCATAGTTGTCCACTCATATGTTGATAAGAGTATTAAAAACTTGACAAATATCCCTCTAAGGTACATTTAGAACAGATAAAAAATTTGCGATTAATTTGCGATTAATCGCGATTAACTATGGACAATCATGCGATTAAATATTTTAATCGACTGACAGCCCTAATTATAATCTGTGTGGGATTAATTGTTTTAGTTGTGGCTTGATGTCCAAAGATTTCAGAAGTTTACCTGCCATTTTTCCTTAGAAGCAGATTTATTTTCTTCAGTAGAGTTAAGGTTATTAATACTAATCCACCTGTATATATTCTTATATTAATGTTATATTTTGTAGTACATTTTGAATTATAAAATATAGTTTTTCTCTATTGTATTTTATCTTTACTTTCAAATATACTATTTTTATATTTATTTATCCTTATTTGTATTTCATTCTAAACTTGGAGCAACTGTCAAATGTATCTGAATAAATGAGATCTTCTGATTCTGATATCGATGTGATTGGACTCCACAGACTGTGCAACACAAGCTTGCAGAGCTGAAAACTGAGATCTGTGTGGGCCGAGTCTTCGTAGATAACTGCCTTCTGCTCCACTCTGAGAAACGCCTCGACGCCGCCACAGCCTCCATGGCCAAATACTGGTGAGAATGTCTGCATTACCTCACTTTTCAGGCTCAAACTGGATCATGTTGCTTCCATCACTTTCGTCTTCTCCAGGGCGTCTGACCTGCAGAACAAGGTGGCCACTCAGTGCCTGCAGCTCCACGGAGGCTGGGGCTACATGTGGGAATACCCCATCGCCAAGTAAGTGTCACATGACCTTCTTGGGATAATGTCACATTGTTTGTATTGTAGGTATGCCACAAGGTGCTGAACTGGTCTCTCTGTCTTTCCAGGGCGTTTGTCGACGCTCGTATTCAGCCCATCTACGGAGGCACCAATGAGATCATGAAAGAGCTCATTGCCCGCACCATTGTTAGCCAGAAGTAGTTGATTGAGTTAGTAGATGCTGACTTAAATATGAAAAAGTATGTAAGTAAATCAAACACCACAAGTAATTAAAAAGCTAGACTGTGACGTAAAAATGTAATACTGTTACTGTAGGAAAAGCTTCTTAGAATTGTTTGCATTGTTTCATTTGTTGTGTGTTTATAATAATAAAATCTGTAAAACACCTAGTTTGTAATACTGCACATGTATAAATATTAAAATATGTTCATCTTAACTTGAAATTATTTAAATAAAGATCTTTCAAATTGCCACTTTTATGTGTTAAGAGTTGCTTGTGTGTCCAATATGTTGTACTAATATCTAACAATGTCATAATTAGAACTCTCTTCCTTTGTGTCAACAATGAAAATAACCTTGGACGGATATTATATTATTATTTTGCAACTAATTAAAGATTAAAGTTGAGATGAATGTGAGGAATGTGATCAGCATCAGCACCCTTTGTGCATTGTCTAATTTCCACCAGTAGGTGGCAGTAAAATAATTGACAAAACTTGCAGAGCAATAACCATTTGTCCATTTGATTCCATTGCAGCACATACAGCAGACTGTTGACTATGACTCGCATATTTCTTTTAGTTGTATCTATTGAATTTTAAATTATATACAATTTGTATTCTCATGTATTTGTGGATATGGTGTTCGATGCACAGCATGCCAGTCTGACTGTGATTCTTAAATTCCTCTCAAAACACATCAGTGCCAGTTGAGGAGGCAGCATCCCCACCCGCCTCACCTGGGGGGGAGAGAAGTGCGGCTACTGCTCACTGATGCATCTCCCCCTCTCACCCCCCATCTCCTCTTCTAGTTACCCCCCCTTCTTTCTGCCTTCCCCTGCCCCTCCTTACCCACTCTCCCCTTGGCATCACATCCACGTTTCCCTCTCCCTCCCTTCTTGTCCATGTTTCCTCAGCAACAGCCACACCCCAGTGCCTTCAGCTCTGCACTGATCTTCCACTGCGGACATCCCTTTCTGCCCATCACAGAGAAGCCTCTTAATGATGAATCAGCATTTCACATGTAGGCTGTTTAATGACCAACTCTGTGCATGCCTTTGTTGTTTCAAACATGTTGCATAAATGTACTTAAATCACATTGAGAGAGTGCTTGTCATGCATGTTGCAGCCACAAAACCCCGTGCGCCCATACTGCTGCATTTACGGTATAGCTTAACGTGCGAGGGGAGGGGTCAGAGGGCCCGGCTCATTGTCACCACAGCTCTGCGCACACACAAGTGTATTAGTGCCGCTGAGCAGCCTGAACCTGCAGGTAAGAGATACAGCTCTTTGTTTATCATTTATTGACAAAAACGGCTTTATAATTGGTAAATGAATTCGGAGTTGTTTTTATGAGGTTACTTTGAAAGTGTCTAATCAATGTGGCACCAATCCTTAGCTGCGCGTCATGGTGTGATGCACAGCAATGTGTGAATCAATGCTAGACAAGGTGTTTGTTACCTATGTGCTTTCTGGTCAATACTTTTGGAGGAATGTGCCGGTTGTATTCACGTATAAGAAATGTGTTGAAATCAGTTTATTTGCGGTGTGTGTCGCTGCGTACCGGCTCGCCTCTCTCCGCTGCAGCACCCGGCTGCGCCTTTTGTTCTGGTCCACGCCTGATGGTGCTGAAACCCGTGCAGCCCCCCGGTTTTCCACTGCAGTACCAACCTGTGAGGAGAGACAGTCGGTTTAACATGTAGGGGGGGAGATAATTTCCCCAGCATCCTTATATATATTTGGCTTATGTTTTGTGGATATACTGTACATGGGAGTAGCCCAGCTTGCAGTTGGCATCTCTCCTGCTAGGGTTGCCCTTGCAGTCCTTACCAGCTTGCATCAGCAAAAAGGTGGCATGACTTGCATTGGATGTATATTCAAACATGCATTTTAAAACCTTCCTGTGTTGAATTCGATTAAATTGATAGCAATTATTCCGAGCCACCTTATCACAAACCCTAATTCTCCATCTGCTGGCTATAATGGAGGTCCTTTCCTCATGGTTCCTTTCATTACCAATATTCAGCCATAGATAATGATCTATAGATGTCCACACTTCCATTAAGCATGGATTTGCTCCAAAACGGCCTCCTTTCAGTGTCACCTCAGCCTCCACATGCAGAGGAGAAGCTGTAGATTTCCCTGCATGTAAAAACATTCCTTTTATGAAAAGGAATTAACGTTCGCATGAAACTGCGCTCCAGATTTTGTATAAGCACATTCCTATTGCTGTCTCAAAAGACCCCAGGCATGGAATATAATGAAAGCTGTAGATGTTGGATTTTGAGTTCTACCACTTGGTTCATGATGGGGTCAGTTTGGATTTACATCAAATTAGATTAAAAAATGTAAGTGTTGGCGTATTTTTCTTGAAAACAGGTGTGTTTGCAGCTCATGCCTGCATTCAGAGAGCTTTCGTCTTGGTTTGAGGTTTAGAAACTTGAAGCTCTGGTTTAAAAAAGGCATAAGTTAACAATCAATTATTTCATTAAATCTACAGCTTCACTTTTAATATTGTGATAACCAGAGATGTGACCATAGGTTTATTTTAAACAAGTCATACATCACGAAAAAAGCCCAAAACAATTCTTATCGACCAATGAAATCTAAGACCAAAATGACCACTTAGTGGGCCGGCCTTGCAGCAATAACCAAAGACAATCTTTAAAATGCATATATACCGTTTTCCCAATGCATTTTCCTTATGGAGTTATACATCACATTCCCTTTAGTGTGTGATGGAGGCTTCTATTGATTATTGATTTAGGGTAAATCTTGGTAGGATGTTGGTCTCAATTAACCACATCTCATTGAACATGGGCAGAAAGAACGACATACGACAACACATGTAATTAATCCTTGCCCATTTAAACCTAGATTATGTGTTTCTTGGCTCGGGCCAAATGGAGGTTGACAAAGTGCATTACAGTCGAGCTGTCTTTCAGGTTTCACCTACTTCTGTTTCCTCTACCAGGCCAGATTGGGCTGTGTCTAATCACTGGTGGATTAATTGAAAATACCTTAATCATGAAACAACAGGTTGGGTTTATATCTGTGTGTTTACGTGCGTATGCTACAAGAGTACCCCCTATTTAAATCTCAAATTCAGTTCTGGTGTACTTCTGTGAATTATGTGAGCCATACATTTAGCCACTTCTCTTTTTTTTCCCAACCACTGGGAAACCCGATACTCTTTCTTGCACCGCATAGGAACGTTAAGTATATTTCCCAACGTCAATTCTGGTTACGTGTGCCGTCAAAATCCTGAAACCACAGACCCACTTTGCGCTCTACTGAAATTAAGACATGCCATGTTGGCTTGTGCTTCCTTTAAAGAGCAACTTGCAGGTTAGAGACCCCAGTGAATAAATGTGGAGGAAAATGATGTATTCACTAGATTTTCAAAAAAAGATACATAAATATACACTACAGTGACATCTGGCGTCATTTTTGTAAGATATTTTTACTTCCGCATAAAAAAAGACCACCCGCGTGTGACGTCACATCAGGGAGAGCGGCCGGTCTAACGTATTAATAAACATGGTTCACAATGCTAGTTTTGACACAGAAGAGGTTGAAAATGTATATTCGTATGCATATGACGGACCACAACCTTATAATTATGAGCCTGCTAGGCATCCAAGAGACCAGGAGCAGCCAAGGATTAGAAGAAATAACGGCCATCGGAGAGAAATGGAGCTGTGGTGTGAGGAGAATCAGTGGAGAACAGGGCAGCTGTCTTGGTGAGTGACCGGCGTTAGCTACAGTTCATGTTAGCTAACGTCGGTCACATCACAACATTGTAAAGTTAGATATCATATATCAGGCTATAACTAAAGTAGTAATGATAATATAGTAGCGTTACTGGCAGGACTGTTGATACTGATCCATAACAGAAACTAATGCGTAAGTATCAGCCGTATCTCGCGTTACCTAATGCAACTCCACACTACGTCTTACGGTGCTGTGTACCGGAGGGGAGAGAGAGAGGAGCGAAGGGGGGGAGGGAGATGTAATACGGTTTCCTGATAAACGTTTTGTTTGATAGGTGCTAGCTTGTGTGGGAAATGCCAGCCCATGGCCTCTGGAGAGAGTATGTGCTGCATGGGGGTGGATGCACCTCGCACAACGCACCCAGGAACGAAAGCTAGCTCCGGTCCTTTTCCTGTTAGGGAAACTGTGGACTTGATGTCCTGACAGGCTGGAGTTTGTGCAACCTGCACAAACAATAGCTCACCATGATTAAAAATGGTGAAATGCAATGTAAAATTACTGAAAAAATACCAGCTCACTAAATCACAACCGCTCAAACCAACTACCAACTACTACCGCGGATTGGGCAGAGAAGGAGTCCGAGAAAGTTGCTGCCCCATGTGACCTAATATGACGCGTTTGACGTATGACGTTTAAAAAAAACAGTTTTTAGTAGCAGAGCTCAAATCGGCTCCTTTCCCCTCTGAATTCCTGCCCTTATGTCTCGTAAAACATATGAAATACTGCATTAACTTTTTTAATTGTAATTTTCAAGCAAGGTTAAGCATAATGTAGTAAAAAAAAAAAACCTGCAAGTTGCTCTTTAAGGAATTGTGTAGGAACAATGTTTGGAGTAAAGATCAGTTTATTGGATTTGATTGCTGGTTGATGGTCGTAGTTCTTCTTGTTTGTGAATGAGAGCATTTGGTTTAATGCGTTCCATGATGAGCTACACAAGTGGTGATTTTGAATCTCTTTTATGTGTGAGGTGCAGTGCTATAGTCACAGGTGTTTGGGGTCTCAGGATGTGTCCTCTTCTGCTCCACTTGAAGGCAAGGTGACTAATTGGAGCTGACAGAACTGTGATTTAAAACACGATTAAGTCTCGACTGTGAGAGGGACCTAATCTTATTCACGTTCTTCAGAGGAACCAAACGTCCCACTGACCTGCATGTGGAGTATCCCCACACACATACACTGCTTCCTGGCCCACTTTAGTGCCTTTTGTTGGGCATAGAGAAATAAAACTGGGGTAGTAAAGAAAGGAATTGGAACTAAATAATGGAGGCTTTCCTGTTTCTTATCCAGTTTCCAATCTCCAAGGTATTTTACAAGGACTGAACAAGCCAGGTGTCAATGTCTTGCTCAGAAAATATTTGCAAAAAATGTGTCTCCTAAACAGACATCAGTGCAAACCAATATGCTGGAAAAACAGAGGACAGATGGACATTTACTCACGAGCATGGAAAGCTGTTAGGCAGTGGCAAAGTTGGCATAACTATTTGTGTTATTTGCACAATCTGTGGTCCAGATGTTGTTGAAACAGCTGTGAAAATGCAGACCTGTGTGTCCTCATTTAAGTTCATTTTCTAGGTAACAGGTTGCTGGGTTTATTGAGTTTGATAAACACCGTTTGTCAGGCGCTAAGATCGATCCTGTGACCTCCTCGGTACAGGACAATCTCTTTGTCTGAATAGCACCCAGTCTCCCAAACAAACTCTGACAGCCAGTGTCACATTTCATCCCTCACGGACCATGCCCCTCGACAGAGAGGACACTCATTCAGGGCATTCTTGCACTCAGTGGCAAACCCCCTCAGATATTGGCATCTATAATATTCTCTGCCACTCTCAGTTTTCGAAGTTGTGTTGTAACCATGTTAGCTAATCCATGAGGTCTGTAGAAGGGAGTGAGTAGGAAAAAAGTTTATTTCTGAGATACAAAGAAAGCAAAACCGCCTACCACAGTTTGCAGGTTTACTTGGCTTGAGTTCAGCAAATCTGTGGCATTTTGATCCATGTGCCTCAAACTTATTTGAGTCCTGTAGAAAGCTTTCTTTATTTAGATCAGTTTGTGTGGTGCCCAAAAGCACATTCCAAGAATAAAAGTGCTGAATGTTCACACATAGCTATTACAGGAAGTTCATGCGTCTCTGTCTTAGCAGGATTATGACATACTGTATAGTCCAGCTCTAAATTGCTGTTTGTGGTTTCACACCCCTAATTGGCACCCGAGAATGCAGGCAACTGGGCTGATGACATATTCTGGATAATATAATGGCTGTGTGTGTTTCTATATGCAGCCAGCTGCGTCTGTTTTAAAGTAAACAGCACAAAAGCCTTACAGTGTTTTATTGGCATTGCAGTGAAGTATGAAGGACATTTCAATTAAATCAGTTTATTGAGAGACAACAAACAATGTGTTTCTTGTGGTCAGAAAAGCTCTTAAAACTGCAGGTGGCTACAATATTATTGAGTGTCAAAGATGTTGGAAAAATCTATTTGTAAAGAATATGTTAAG